TTTTATTGCAACACCATGGACACCTACATATAGGCGGAGGGAGGTGTGATTTTATCTTGATCTCAAGTGTTTCTGTCTTATAGGCAGCGGATAGTTCTTTTTGAAATCTGGTCTTCAACTGACCGAAGGAGAACGGGGTAGTAAAGGAGTGGATGAGGGATTTTTGGTGAACATGCGACGACAAAACTGGAAATAGGAAATAGTGATGGCCTATATTAACAGTCATGTTTAGGATTAGACAGTCAGTTCTGAACCGCCATTATGGGGAGACGGATGTCATTCGCGCGGTTCCGTTGTCACCCGTTTGTATTGCCAGTCACACGTCAGAATGTGTAGATGAGTAAGGAGTTGGTAGGGGGATTAGCTGATATATAGAATCGACATAGATGTGGTCCAAAATTTCACCTATCTACCCACCCAGGCAAGCAGGTGAAGCCCTGAATAAAACATAATACGGGACACAGGGTTCGCGTTCTTATTACTCGACGTGGTGTTTGTCTTTCATTTTTTATCATCTTTCATGTTACCTAATGAGCATGCAGCAGGCCTTTTCCCAGCTTTCGATGCGCACCGACAAGATTGAGGATCGAAATGTAACCTGGAATTGTCCGGTCGGTTAAAAAGCTGTTAACCAGAGAGACGAATTCAAATTCCATTTGGGTTCTTTATAATCATTAGCGCACAAATACTCTTGGGAAAGCTGTGAATCTGTGATAAGACTGTTCGTTATCTATCTATCTATCTATCTATCTATCTATCTATCTATCTATCTTAGTCTGATCATAATCTATATAGCTAGCTTAGTCTGATCATTATCTATCTATCTATCTATCTATCTATCTATCTATCTATCTATCTTAGTCTGATCACAATCTATCTAGCTATCTTAGTCTGATCATAATCTATCTATCTAGCTAGCTTAGTCTGATCATTATCTATCTTTCTTAGTCTGATCATTATCTAGCTAGCTTAGTCCTAATCTATCTATCTATCTAGCTTTGTCTGATCATTATCTATCCTAGTCCTAATCTATCTATCTAGATAGCTTGGTCTGATCATTATCTATCTTAGTCTGATCATTATCTAGCTAGCTTGGTCTGATCATTATCTATATTAGTCTGATCATAATATATCTATCTAGCTAGCTTAGTCTGATCATTATCTATCTAGCTTAGTCTGATCATAATCTATCTAGCTAGCTTAATCTGATCATTATCTATCTTAGTCTGATCATAATCTATCTCGCTAGCTTAGTCTGATCATTATCTATCTATCTTAGTCTGATCATAATCTATCTAGATAGCTTAGTCTGATCATTATCTATCTATCTATCTATCTATCTATCTATCATTATCTATCTATCTATCTAACCAAAAACGTCAATAGTACAAAATATTTAACGTCACTTCAAGTGTCACGCTATGACATGATCAGATAGTCTTTTAAATCGCATGAAAATATTTAAACCTTTTGAAGACCGTTTCATAGCGTGAAAACTTGATGTTACGTTGAGGTCTTTGAATTTCTACCCTTCTTTAATAGGATTACATCACTATTCTACACCGGTTTTCTTACTGGAAGTTTCTAGATTTCCGAACATTCTATACCTTATTAGTTTTAGGTAAGGATTTTTATGTTCCTTATTTTCTCTCTTGTTTTATTATTCATAAACGGATGCCCAGTTTCATTTGAATTCAGTCATTTTCTTGCTTTCTATTGTTTTTCTTTTGTTCTGAACTCAAAGAGAGACGACGCGTTTTTACGAAGCTACCCAAAATGTAACGAATTTTAAGTCTAACTGAAAGAAACGTAAATATTATTTAAATACTATGTTGTCTAGAAAGTCCCGACTCATTTAGGAAGCGGTAAGAAAACAATAAAATTTTATGGAGCAACATGAACATTTATTCTTCAAAATAAAGCCCGTCATTCCTGACGATCTTCTGCTAGCGATCAGCCAGCATCCAAATCTGTCACAGATACCCAGTCCACCGGCTTTGAATAATAATAATAATAATAATAAAAACCGTAAATAAGCATCTTTCAACTCATCAAAAGTGTTGAATCGCTTGTCGCGGAGGAAGTGTGCCATTGAGCAGAATAGGCCATAGTCACTCGGAGCAGCAGTAAAACTGAATAATGGATGTGGAAGAATCTCAACACTGTTCATCAGTTTGAAATCAAAGTGTGTGGCCTACTGGAAAGTGGTCCTTCTTTGGTCTTTCGTACACACAGTTTAGCTACTGGCAATACAGTTTAGCGTCGATGGCGCGATGTGTGGAACAAGCTCGAAATGCAGTATTCCTTGGAAATTCAGCTCGACAGAGATGAAAATTTTTTGTTTTCTTTCCGCTTCCTAAGTGAGTTAGGACTTTTTAGCCAACGTAGTAATTTCATATAATTTGCAATTATTATCTCTATTTAATTTATTATATAAGTTATGATTATTATATTTATTTATATATGTATTGATTATTATTACTTTTTTCAACCTTTTCTATCTTTTTTACCGTATTAATATTTATTTATTTTTTTGTACATCATGGCTGATGTTAACTTTCAAGAGAGGACTCGTTGCGTCTTCTCAGGCGTATATTTTTCGCTGACATGAAGTGGAAAGATTATATTGAATCAATTACTTGGTCTTCTGCTAGGCAAGTCGGTTCACTGTTTCAATTTTTCTTTCCAGAATCTATCTTAGAAATTCATCCATGCTTTGAATATTGCTGCCACATCAATCTGGTGCTCCTACTATACGTTTAAAGATTCTTGATAAAGTCCAAAGAACAATCTGCAATTTTATTGGTCTATGATGATACTTCGCGCGTACCCCATATACCCGTCTGTGTATTGTTGTGTATTGTTGTGTATTGTTGTCATTTTCGTCGTTTTTTTTCACTTTAAACTCACTAAAATTATGTGCCATGCGTGATACACGCTTAGGCGTTCATGTATCTTTCGATACATGACTGACGAGGCAGATTTTTTTCCCGGAGTAAGTTACCATTTCTTTCTGCGGTAGACCAGTTGGCATTCAAGGCTATAGAACCCGGTCTGTCCTGTTATTTATCCATAGCTTGGGGAGAAGACAAGGATTCCCAAGGGTGTTAGGTATGTAATGGATTCGACTCGAATTCGACCTCGGCTCTCCGATTCTTACGGTAGACCAGTTGCCGTGTTAATTTTAACGCCACCAAAACGAAACTTCTCTTTATTAATCATTTCAGAGAACTCTTTTTGCCGCTCATCAAAGTGATTCGTTACGCCTTTTCGAGGTACCATTCTCCGCTGACATGAAGTGGAAAGACTATTTTTGCTGTGTATGTAGAGATTCTTGATAGAATCTCCAATGTTATTGGTCCTGACCTGGCATCTCGGCTGTAGATACTTTCCCACCGCCGTAATGTAGTTTCCCAGTGCCTTTTCTATAAATACTTTCATGGTAATTGTTCTGATTAACTTTGCTCTATGGTACGTGGAGCTTATGAAGTACTAGATTGGCAACTATGTCTCGTCAATTTAAAGTTGAATTGGTAAAATGAAACCGTAAGTTCTATGTTAACAGTTTCTCGCACTTATCGCTTGTGGAACCTTCTTCCCGCTCGATGCTTTTCAGACAACTTTGATTTTCAAAAATTTAAGTACACTGCCAATCGTTATCTTCTGTCGTCTTGATTTATATTCTTTTATTGTTGTCGTGCCTTAATAATGTTTGTCTTTTTCTTATATTTCACGCTCAGTATCCCTTGTGTCCTTACTCTCTTGCTTGGGTGAAATGATTTTAAAAAGTGTTCCAAGAAATAGGACTCACGATAAACCTTTCCAAAACAGGAACTATGATCTGGAATTGGAATATAAGTATGATGGCACATGCACAGAATTCATCATAAACATCTAGAATTCGAAATTAATACTAAACACTTCAAGTATCTCTTTGTATTGACCTCTTATAGAAAAAGGAGTTCAGCATAGAATAGGCTGTGCTACGGATAGTTTTGTCCAACCACGAAAGATGCTACAAAACATTAACCCAAGAACTAGAATCACGTTTTTAAATAACCTACTCAGAGAGAGAATTTCGTATGGATTTCCTGCACGACGTACAAATCGTATAGAAAATGTATAAAATGCTAGGTGTATACAACCACTTTCTCAGATCAATGGTTAAAATTGATCGAAGTGAATGAAGCCTGTATGTCTTGGTGAAAACCATTCTCCTTCAAACAATGTGTACTGGCGCTACAGAATCACAAAGATCTGTGCCAAATAACAGAAATCACACCACTTGAGGAATTTCAAGAGTAGTAACGAGTAAAATAGATAAAACATGTAACTAGAAGAGAATATAATGACATAATCAAAATGAGACGTTCCATACTAGTTCAAACAAAAGATCCGAAAGGAAACCCCAATCAATACTGGAAACAGTAAGTGGACTCGAGAAACCTATTTTCCTGAAACAATGTTTTGATAGGAAGATTTTATAAATTCCAACTTACAGTAGCAGAACCAATGAATACGATATGTTTCGATCAAAGAAAACGGCTATTAATACCATTGCCACTTGTTACTTTTATCAGATTAGGTTTATTGGCATATATTTCAGGTGAAGAGATACACTTTAAATCAGTAGTTCCCAAACCTTTTTTTAGCTGCTGCTCCCTTGGCTGCTAGGCCACATTCCTCACGCCCCAATTACCACACCGATGTGAAGGCAATACTTTCTTGGTCTGATGTGTACTGCAAATTCAGCACAACTGGTCTCACACGCTGCGAACATTCATGTCTATATCACTACATCGACAGATATAGAACATTGATTCTTACAGATATCGCCTATTTGACATTGCTTACGTGGGCTGCGTCCTATCCAGATAACGCCAGTAAGTTTTCAAAAAATCGTTTCGTCTTCTAACTTCGGACAACAAAATCAAATAAAATCATGTACATCCTAATCTTATTCTTTGTCAAGCATGCGTGTTCCTTCAGTGTAAGTGAACTTACGGCCATATGACGTTGAAAAAACCGATTCTCGTATGATCACCGAAGTTAAGCAACATCAAGCCTAGGTAGTATCTAGATGAGTAACCACTTTGGAATACCAGATACTGTAAGCTAGGGTGTGCGGGTGGTGTAATGAATAACGGGTCAGAATTGGAAATCGGAGAACACTGTTTCCAATTCTAATCAGGTTCGTTATGTTCACTTACGCGCTTATAACCTTGGCATGAATCTATCTATTCTCCCCCATCTATGGGTTAATTAGTGAGACGTGTATTAGTAAATCATTATTATCTCCAAAAGAATACGTACAATCTAAAAAAATTCTGACTTTAAATAACTTACAAAAAGTTGATAAGCCGTAACAAATCAATCAAAATTCAGTGTTATAACTTAGATTTTATATATATTTTGTACCAATATTACTTGGCCACCATGCCGTTTATCAGTCAGTTATGTGTCATGCGTAATACACGCTTAGGCGATCATGTATCGTTCGATATATGACTGACGAGGCAGGATTTTTCCTGCAGTAGGTTGCCATTTCTTTCTGCGGTAGACCAGTTGGCATCCAAGGCTATAGAACCCGATCTGACCTGTTATTTATCCATAGCTTGGGGAGAAGACAAGGATTCATACCTTTCCCAAGGGTATTAGGTGTGTAATGGATTCGACTGGAATTCGAACTCGGCTCTCCGATTCCTCACTCTGAGCCGCTATCCATCACACCACCGTACCTCCCCATGCCGCTCATACGAACCCTTATTTTCTAGTCGCACCCTACTGTCTTCTTTTCCCTCATTGCTCTCTGGTTCATTATACTGCCCTGAAAGTGACGGTTCCAACCACTTTGGAAAATGCTAGCTTTGAAGCATATAATATTTCATTTATAGCATTGAGAGCCAGAGAGTGAGATAGAGAGATAGAGAGAACAAAGAGAGGAATAGATATAGGAGAAGATATGGGGCAGGGTTAGGGATTTGTCATGGGAACCAAGGGTGTAGCAGCTAAAAAAGTTTTCAAGTGTATCTCTTCACATGATATGGACGGTAATGAATCTAATCTGATACCTGAAGTGAACGAGAGAGACAGGAAAGAAATACAGAGGAATAGATATAGAAAGAGAATATAAGGAGAAATAATAAGAGAGAAATATATATATATATATATATAGAGAGAGAGAGAGAGATGGAGTGAGATAGACAAGCGGAGTGAAGAAGTGAGAGGAAAGAGATAGTGGGGTGAGATATATAGGACGAGTGTTAAGGAGAGAACGAGAAATAGAGAGAGAGGAACATATATAGGTAGAATAAGGAGAAAGAGATAGTAGTAGTAGTAGTAGAGAGAAATAGATATAAGGAGAGAGTAATAGATATATAGAAAGAGATTAGGAGAGTGAGAGTTGAAAGATAAATAGAGAAGAGTAGATATAGGAAAAAAGCTAAGGAAATAGAGTAATAGAGAATAGAATAAATACAGGGAGATAAGAAGAGTGAGATAGAGAGTGATATATATATATATATATATATATATATATATATATATATATATATATATATATATATATATATAGAGAGAGAGAGAGAGAGAGAGAGAAAGAGAGACAGGAATGTTTATTTTGGCTTGATCCAGATTTCTCTTCTTCTTTTCTGTAATAAAATTTACATATACCAGATGCTGCTAAAAGTTTGCGACCACCCCGACCAAAAACAACAACAACAAAAAAAAAAAAAAAAAAAAAAAAGAAAAAGAAACCGGTGATATACGTTGGAATTTCGAATCGAAACCTTCATTTCGTCCACTGAGGTTGACTGTTCTAGTTCCACGTATCATGCCTTTTCTGAATATCTCAGTTTTAATTTTTTCCCCTTTAGTAACTCAAGTGTCCGAGTTTTTGTTCATCTCTGCTGTGGGCAGGTATTGAACTCACAACTCTTTACGCTACCATAAGTTCTCAGATTTTGGGGTAAGAAAGATAGATTTCAATGTATTGAAATTCTACTCAATTTGTGGAAACCTACCTCTTGATCTACGGTAGAAAACTGCACAAAGCCTAATGAAATTGCAATAAAGATTCTTGCAAGATGGTAGAATGCATCAGATATCAGAGGCAAAATTGAAGTGATTCAAAACACTGCTGTGTTAAAGTAGACAAAAATAAAAGGGGAATTAAATAGGTAATTACTTTCAGTATTAGATACCTTGCTGTCACTCGAACACTAGCTAGACGTCTATCTTTTACAAAGATAAAAAAAACAACCTTTATGTTCTTGTGTTGTTTCGATCTATTGTTCTCGTCTTGGTTGATATAGATGTTATTATAGACACAACCTTTTGATCAAGTACACTCTAATTATCTTCAGGTGTCCGTCGTTTGGCTAATATGGGATATTTTTTTTATTATTGTGGTATTTCGTCCCTGTGATATCAATTATTGTTCGTCCTTTCTGAATCGGTAACTCACGCCCAGATCCATGGAATGAACTGATGACCACTACATGAAAGTAATATATGTATAAACACATCTTCCTGTCGCTTTTATCTCTTAATAAGTTTTGTCTTTTTGTTATTTCTGTCCCGTAAGTATCAGGCTTTTCAAGCTCTACTTCCTCATTATGTGCTCCAGAAATTTCAACTGCCTCTTCCGGATGTTAAGTATAAATTTCCTTTTTATTTCCATTTTCTTCAAAACCTCGTCGGCCCAGCATATTTCTGTAGAACTACATTTATATTGCTTCAAGTCTCTCTTTCATCTTTGACGAGATTGTCCAGCATTCGCTGCAATACGGAAAGACAGATATCATGTAACAGTTCAGTACACTTTTCTTTGTTTCTAACGAAATTTGTCTCTTAATACTCTGCTTAGCTTTTGAAATGCATCTTTGGTCATCATATTACTCTTTAAAAATGTATCCAATAATAAAGCTTCGCACTTTCAGCATAGCCAGATTTGAAATTTTAACATCGTATAACCTATCATCTAATTATATTTTGGCGGTAAGAAAGATATATTTCAATGTATTGAAATTCTACTTAATTTGAGCAAACCTGCCTCTTGATCTACGTTGAAAAACAGCACAAAGCCTAATGCAATAAAGATTCTTGCGAGAAGGTTGAATGCATTAGATATGAAAAGCAAAATTGAAATGATTCAAAACACAGTTGTATTAAAGTAGACGAGAATAAAAGGGGAATTAAATAGAGAATTACTTCCATTTATTAGATACCTTGATGTCACTCGAACACTTGACAATACCGCTAGAAGTCTATCTTTTTCAAAGATAATAACAAACTTTAAGTTCTTGTATTATTTCGATCTATTCTCACTATTTACATTGTTCATTACATTTGACATCATCAAATATTTTGGTTTTACGATGTCATATTAGCTTAAGAGAAAAACTACAAACGCACAAAGTGGTAGTAAGTGTTAAACGTATTTCTTATTTACACTATTTGCATTGTTCGGACTGTTGTTCTCATCTTTATTGTCAGACATGTCATATTAACGACATTTTAGCCGCTGTACGCTACCATCTTCTTCCGGTGATATATGTTGGAATTTCGAATCGTACCCTTTAGTTAGTTCACGCCCTATCTGGATAGCTTTAGTTTCAGTTAATTCCCTTTTAGTAAATCAACTCTCTAAGTTTTTGTTCACCTCTGCTGTGACTAGGTATTGAACTCACAACTCTTTACGCTACTCTTTACTCAGTTCTCAGATTTTGGGGTAAGAAAAATAGATTTCAATGTATTGAAAATCTACTTAATTTGAGCAAAGCTGCCTCTTGATCTACGTTGAAAAACAGCACAAAGCCCAATGCAATTACAATAAAGATTCTTGTGAGAAGGTAGAATGCATTAGATATGAAAAGCAAAATTGAAATGATTCAAAACACGGTTGTATTAAAGTAGACGAGAATAAAAATAAAAGGGGAATTAAATAGGTAATTACTTCCAGTATTAGATACCTTGCTGTCTCCCGAACACTAGACAATACCTCCAGATGTCTATTTTTTTGGAAAGATGTTGATAACCTTTAAGTTCCTGTATTATTTCGAACTATTGTTCTCATCTTAGTTGATATAGATGTTATTACAGACACAACGTTTCGATCAAGTACCCTCTAGTTATCATCATGTGTCCATTGTTTCGCTGATATGGGATATCTGTTGATTAAATCACATGACCCTTTAATGATAGATTTATAGGTTTATACATCCATGCTTCAGTAATTCTGCATGTAATCACACATAAAAAAACAAATCGAAATTTTTAAAAAATGAATTTTAAAAGATTGAAAAACTTTATAAATTATTCAATTTAACATTGTAAATTGTAAAAAAACGAAAACAAATCTTGTAAAAATTCATTTTTCGTCAATTTTTTTTTTATATATATTATTCATAAAAGCGATTAAAAGCGTCTCGGCGTCTTAGTTTTATTGCGTTTTTTATTTTTCGATTTTCGGTAAGACGGAACCCGATTTTGCAAAAAAAAAAAAAAAAAAAAAAAAAAGAAAAATTTGGTCATTTAAATTCTTCAAAGATTTCTGCTTTTAACTAATATCACTAAAATTATCACGTTGAATTTCTCACGTTTTCATAAAGTTAAGTAAGGGGGTGTAACACATATAAAAACTATTTTTACCAAGATTTACTAATAAAAAAGTTTCTGAAATAATTTCATTCATTTGTGAATAACTCCTGAGAATTTCATTAGAATATGACAATATTCGATTTTCGCAAGAATTTCCAAATTAATGTGTCTGTCGTTGCAAATTAAAATTAACAGGAGATAACTGATAACTGACATCCATTAGACATGGCACTTGGAACTAGAACAGTTTACCCCAGTGAGCGAAATAAAGGCTTCAGTTCGACATTTCAATCACCTAAAGAAGGCCGGAGCGTACAACGGCTGAAACGTGATAAATATGGCGACAAAAACGAGGACAATAGTCCGAATAATGTAAATAATATGATTCAAATTATTTGTCATATTTCAGTAGACGGTCATTCAAAAAACGGATTGAAAGCAAATGACATTTAATGTTTATCTTTTGTCATATTTTACTTGGCTTTAAATAACCAGCAGAGGATTGATAAGCTGTAGAAAACGAATTAATCAATAATTAAAAAATTACTAAGAGCTACTATAACCCCCGTCTCTTCCCTTACATGTCTAATGGGCCCCGTTAGTCTAGCCTCACTTTCTGTAGACGTGGAGCCGCTCAATTCGAACCTTGCTTGTTCCAATACCTCAATTCTCGCACGGTTATTGGACAAGGAGAGTTATACAGCTTCCAAACTGGTTTAGGGATTGATGCCAGTATAAGTCGTCGATCGTCCACTCTTCAAGCGTTGTGATTCTTACTAAGGAAGAAATTTGTCCTACTTCTTTTAGTCGATAATCCGTGTTAAACGTCTTGACGACAGGGTTGACTGGAAATAAAGTCAAGTTCTCTCCAAAGAAATAATAATGCCAGTTTTGGTTAAACATAGACGATTTAATGAAGGTGAGTAAAATAATTTATAATCGAATGTGGCATCTATTAACACAAAAAATGTTTAGAAGTCGGTGACTTGGAATCCCGATTTATGTGTTTAGTAAAGTTCAATAAAAAATTCAAGGGAATGTTGGACAACTTCCTCGTATAGGTGTGCAACTGTGTGCGTGTCTGACGACTCGTCTATCTCTGTTGTCCCGGCCCTCTAATCCGCAAAAACGAGCTGAATTTACACATAATTTTTCGCCAACATATCAAACTGTTTAGACGTCAAAATAACTCAAATTTTCATTATTTAAAGTCGGAGTTAAAAGACTAAATCCTATGTTTTGATTTTACTCCATTCCATTCAGAACTATTGTTCCAAAACCAAAATATATTTGGCTGACATATCTGTCAGAAACTAACTCAAAAGAATATCCTCTGACCTGTCTAATTCGAGGTCACACCTGGAAACTCGACAAATATTACTACCTGGGAAAATTAATAAGATCTAGAAAAACACACACCAATCCATTCCAAATCATCGTCTTGAGATTTAAAATCTACGATATCTGCCAATAGCAAGTTACCTGCAAAGACCAGAGAATTACGGAGAACCATCATCATCCACATCTTGAAGAGATACAGCACATAGCAGAAGAAAAAAACATGGCGCTATAAGAAGGGCTAGGTGTTGTGTCATCCACCTCACTTTTTGTTGGAACTGGGAACTAAACAGAAGACCCAATTTGAGTAAATGATTGATGGAACAAGGTTTAGGAGAGAAAACAAAAAGACAAAATTTATTAAGAGCAACAAAGTACAGGAAAATGTGAAGAGACGTGATCACCTACGTCTTTAAGGAACACGACCCATAGAAGAAGGAATTTGTGTAAATGACTGGCAGAATAGGGATTATGAAAGACAATAAAAAGATAAACATTGCTTAGAGTTACAAAGGAGAAGAAATTGTGGCTTTCGTTTACAGTAGCCGGTGTTCCCATGCGAAACCCCATCAAAGGACTAACCGAGCTCAGAACTACTTAATTTCGGTGATCAAACGAGAACCGGTATTTCATCGTTATCCTACCGTAAGCATAAGTGGCATTAAAGCGTACCATATATGAAATAAACGGCCAAGAAAGTGTTTAAACATATCAAACTACAATAATTAAGGCATTTTGACTTATATCAGTTTTTTTTTGTATACGCCCAACACTAAAACTAATTGATTCATTTGTTTCTACCCTTTATAAACCCCTTGCAGGTTATTTAAAGTCAGAAAATGTTTTAAGATTGAAAGATTTTTTTTCCTTCTGCAGATAATAATGATTTAGTGATACAAGTCTTACTAATTAACCTATGAGGGAAAGATGTGGATTAATGCCTTTTCCAATGTTTGGTTTGGTTTGTTTTACTTTACGGCATATCAACCTCAATGAGTTATTTAATACCGATAAGATTTTTTATTGCAGGTAATTTTTTTTTTTCAAAAATGTATTGCTGCTAATTTTTTTTTAATATATTTTTTCTAAAAATGTATTGCTGGTATTAAAATTATTTTTACGCTTTCATAGTTTTGGGATCACAGTTTGGGTGTTAATTATTTGCCTATAGCTGGGACTCTAATAGTTGCTACCACCTCGGTTCAAGGTAGACCTGGAAGCAGTAGTAATTAAGAGGTGGTTTCACGCTCCCCAGAGCCTCCCGATCAGGGACATCGCTGCCGGATGCAGTTTATCATCATGCCTAGGAGGCCTTTCCCAAGGGTATCTGCATATAACTGAATATAACGAACCTAACTGGAATTGGAAGTTCGGTTCACCGATTAACAATTCGAGCCATCTATTACAAAACCCGCACATTCAAGCTTCCAGTTTGTATCCAAAGTCATTGAAGTACTGACCAGGTTCGACGTTGCTTAACTTCGGTTATCTTACGGGAACCGCTGTTTCAAAAGAAGAAACAACTGTTTAACGTATCAGAATAAAAATAAGGGACTAAGCCCACCTAACGTTGGGTATCGTTTCTACATCTATATATTCTAAACGGTTCTTGCCTCTTACCTCTGTAACCTTTTAGCTCAAGTGGCTCCTGGGACTTGTAGAGGGTAACCTGTAAAAAATATGGCTTTATAGGAAAGGTTTTTTTTCCAAGATTTTCTTGCAAATATTTTCCAAATTTTTAATGTCAATCTTTTGTTTTCTTTCTTTCCAGCCACTTGAAACAAACAAACAAAAAATATGTCGCAAAAACCATGTCATCAAAAGTTGATGATTATCAACTTGGATCCAGGAATTGACGATGCTCAAGCAGTTCTGATGGCATTAGCAGACCCTGACGTGAAAATACTGGCTTTGTGCACACATCATGGAAATACTAGCATTGAAAACACAACTACAAATACCTTTGAAGATGATGACGGCTATCAACAGAACGGACGTAAGTCCTAAGTGTTATATATATATATATATATATATATATATATATATATATATATATATATATATATATATATATATATTACTGCCTGTACAAGGCCAAAGGCCATTTGAGGTTACGATAGCAGGCAGTTTATATGGATAGGAGTAGAAGATAACGTTTAACCCGAGATTCGAACAGGTTAAGATTGTAGTGATCAGGGAAGCATCCTCTTGGGAGTCGGTTCCACAAAGTAAGAGGTAAGAAGCACAGTTTATGAGGATATGTGGGGAAGATAACGGTTGACCCTAGCCTTGAATAAGTTAAGATTGTAGTGATCAGGGAAACATCCTCTTGGGAGTCGGTTCCACAAAGTAAGAGGTAAGAAGCACAGTTTATTAGGATATGTGGGGAAGATAACTGTTGACCCTAGCCTTGAATAGGTTAAGATTGTAGTGATCGGGGAAACATTCTCTTGGGAGTCGGTTCCACAAAGGAAGATGTAAGATGCACAGTTTATGAGGATATGTGGGGAAGATAACTGTTGACCCTAGCCTTGAATAGGTTAAGATTGTAGTGATCGAGGAAATATCCTCTTGGGAGTCGGTTCCACAAAGTAAGAGGTAAGATTCACAGTTTATGAGGATATGTGTGGAAGTTAACTGTTGACCCTAGCCTTGAATAGGTTAAGATTGTAGTGATCCGGGAAACATCCTCTTGGGAGTCGGTTCCACAAAGTATGAGGTAAGAAGCACAGTTTGAGGATATGTGGGGAAGATAACGGTTAACCCTAGCGTTGAATAGGTTAAGATTGTAGTGAGAGCAAGAGGCACTGAGGAAAACAACACAATATACTTAGTGAGTTTGACTAAATTGATGGAGAAACGTGGCTTAGGAGAAATAACAGTAAGATAATGTTTATTAAGAGCTACAACGGAAATGATATTGTGGAGAGCTATGACCGCCTACGTTGTGAGGGGATACGGTACATAGAATAATAATACCGTTTTGGGGTCATGGTAGTCCATTTGTATTGGTCTTTCATATCCTCATCATTGGCTTGAATTTTTCTATTGGAATATTTGTGTCTTATCATACTGGTAGCTAATAATTTTTCACATGACTCCTGAGTCGAAACTCAGACAACTAGCGTTTTCCACATGTTGGGCATAGACAAGTAAGCAGAAATAGAGAAATCTTTACAGAAACAGAGATTAGAATGCTGGCGAGAGTGGATGCATAGACCAGCCGTTGCTCTGAATTGACGTGGAGCGTTGAAATCGGAGAAGTCCAAGGCAACCGGCAATTGCAAAAAGCCCTTGTACGAGGCCTCCTGTCCTTCGAGACATCACCGGATCAAATGGAATAACTAGACGATGGCAAAAATATATACTGCTGGTTGAATAAGTTCAACATAACACGTGTGCTGATTCTTTGAAGTTTCCAATTTTCTAATTCTCTACTCTGTTCACTACTTAGACTTCATTCCATAGAGGTTGGTGTGCACCGTTTTCCGTTTGCGCATGATCACTGAGATAATAATCTTGATTTTGGAATGTCGGACTACAAGATTACAAAATACATTAAATATTTGAAGAAGCCCGTAGTGTATAGCAGTTGACATGTCGATTAAATCTCTTCAAAATAGCTAAGAGAGGAAATGTACATGTAATATTGGCCTATATTGTCAAATCCGAGTCGTTTTCAGGATTCCCAGTAAATAAAATTCCCACCAAATCAAGCCTATTCTTGCACCTCTAACGTAGATGGTTGACCACTTGGGAACACCAGGCGCTGTAAGCTTGGATGTGCGGGTGGTGTAATGGATAATGGTTCGGAATTGGAATTTCAAATTCCAGTCGGGGTTGTTATATTCACTTACGGCTGGTCTGCGCATCTACTCTCGCCTTCACTTTAATCTCTTCTTCTGCATAGATTTATCTATTTCTGCTTACTTGCCTTGGGAAACGTATAAGTCTACCTCTTATCAACCACAAGCTATGGATTCATTAGTAGGAATTGTACTAGTAAGTCATTATTGTATTAAAAAAATAGAAGTAGACAAAGAAAAATGCATTTTTACTGTTACAGTGTAACCCGGATATAAGAGACCCGGATATAAGAGAAACACGGATATAAGAGATTTTCTCTGGTCCCAAATTAGAGCTGTGTCAATGTATACATATAGACCAAACCCGGATATAAGAGAAACCCGGATATAAGAGACTTCTTCTCCGGTCCCGACAACTCTCTTATATCCGGGTTACACTGTAATATAAATATAGATAACTTTTGTATATAACCAATGGTTTGTCAATGAGACAAAAATGATGCTATGTTTGTGCGTATGTATGGAATGCTTCGGAAATGGAAATCGGAGAGCCGAGTTCCATTTCCAGTCAGGTTCGTTATATTCAGTTGCGCGCAAATACCCTTGGGTTAGCTATGAATCCATATCTTCTCCTCCAGTTATGGGTTAATTAGTAATGTGTATGTGTGTTTGTGTGTGTGTGTGTGTTTCGGCTGTCCCAGATATATGCAGGCTTACGACCACATCACATTGAAATACCGGTGAGCATACGATGACCGAGGTTAAGAAACATCGAGCCTGGCCAGTATTTAGATGGGTGACCGATTGCGAATACCAGGTGCTGTACGCCTGGATGCACAGGTGGTGTAATTGTAATGGTTTGGAATTAGAAATCGGAGAGCAGAGTTCCAATTCCAGTCGGGTTCGTTATATTCAGTTATGTGCGAATACCCTTAGGGTAGCTATGAATCCATATCTTCTCCTCAAGTCATGGGTTAAATAGTAGGACTTGTATAAAAATTGAAATTATTATTATCTCCAAAATTCTTACAATCTAAAAAATTATTCTTACAATCTAAAAATTATGTTCTGGCTTTAAATAATGGTTGATAAGTCGTAAAAAAAACTCAACCATTCTTTCCTTCTTGTGTTTCTTGTTATTTTTGTTGACTCGCCTGATTCTGTCTCTCACTCACTCTCTCTTTCAATTAGCTTTTACTCCTGGTTATTGCTCATTATTGTTGTACTGTTTAATTCAGATCCCGGTTTTCCGAGGCTGTGAACGTGCCCTCATAATCCATCCAGAGAAAGGGGACGACTTCTTCGGTAAAGATGGTTTTGGCGACAACGAAACAATTCCTCGTCCGAGTGACAAACTGATTCAGTCAGAGCATGCTGTTTTAGCTATGATCAGATTAGTCAATGAATACCCAGGTAGGTAAATATTAATTCCATCAATCAGTACATGCTGATTTATATAATACACTCTGACTAGTATCTATCTATCTATCTATCTATCTATCTATCTATCTATCTATCTATCTCGTTTCATATCTATTTGGCTGCTGTTTAATGTCGCGTTGCTGAGATAGGATTCGTGGCACCACAAACCATAGTTCAAGGAAGACCGAGATCCTCTCGTACGTCTGCAGGCGGAATCGCCGTCTGATCCTGCGTGCTTTGACCACTCGACTACGGAGAGCTTCACAAACAAACACGGTTCTATTTGCCTTTAAAGCACATTCACTCGCTCCGATTCGATTATTGAATTTCATTTTAACATCAAGAAACTGAGAAATAGAAAGGATCAGTATAAAAATAAACAAACAATATATCAATATTATTCAATGAAGCATCTTTGAATATATATATATATATATATATATATATATATATATATATTTGTAAGTGTCTTTTGGGAATGTTGAAAGTGTGATTATTCGACTAGTCACTTCAGCCGGAATTTGCTGCATTTCTATGTATGTGATCATTAACGTGAATGTTTAAAGTCTTGACGCGTGTTTGTTTAATAAACCCTAGCTGTGCTATCGTGTATTTCATAATCAATTCGTTGAATAATAATGTCAATTATTTTTTAAATTTCTGTAAAGGTCAGATTACGCTGTTTGGCCTCGGTCCTCTTACGAATCTGGCGATGGCCCACCGGTTGGATCCTGAATTTAGCAAGAAAGTCAAAGACTGCTTCGTAATGGGAGGCAACTACAAAGGTAAGTGAAATTGTTTTCGAAACTGAAATGACGTGGATTGATGGAATCCATTGTTAGGTTTACTCCTAGGAAAGTTTGTTCGCTGTGTCGTGCAAGACAATTTCACTCGTCAGAATCCATTTTGCACATTTACACATCTACCATTCGTCCGTTCATTAAATATTGATGCCATATCTGGTCTGGTGCTCCTGCTATATATCTCGAGATTTTCGACAAAATCTTAAGAAGGGTCTGTAATGTTATCGGTCCTAACCTCGCATCCCGACTTCAATTCCCCACTGTCGTGATGTGGCTTCCCTCTGTCTTTTCTATAAATATTTTCATGGCAATGGACTCTCCTCCTCGGTAGCTAGTCTGCGGTGGTATCAAGAGAACTGCCCCTGGAATAACTGCCACCAGTCTAATGTAATAACCCTGCCTGTTGCAGTTCTGTCCTGTCTCCCCGGTGGTTCTGTCCGAAAAAGAAATCCACCCGATCTTCCTCCGGTGAACTGAAGGAACCACCACTATTCGCCACGTTGTGAAATCTTGATCCGAACAGCAGTGTATCGATCTCCCCAGAACGATCCGGTGGGAAGGGGAGGAAATGGCTGGGTATTTCGCTGAAAGGAAATCACTATTCATGCAGCAAAAGTTTCTTGTCGTAGCCGCAAACACACGAAAAAGAAAAAAAAATGAGCAACTCCTGTTCCTGTACAAAGAGCCCTATATAGGCCACTGTTTTTTATGTCTCTACTGAAGAATTTGCACGAGTACAAAATGTCGTAGCGAGATTCACTCGTTTGGGTCGGAAAGTCACAGAGAGAGAGAGAGAGAGTAGGAAAATTTCTGCCTAAACAATTTCGGCTGATCTAAGGAAAGTAATTCGTGGATCTTCGTCTGCACCCTACGATATAGCAGTCTGTTTTCTCGTAGCCTTGTTGACGAAGTTATCTGGATTCGTACGGGTTCTATTTCGATCTCTTAGTTCGGATCGGTCTTCTTGACACAGGGCAACCAACAGACCATACCAGCAAATTCCAACAAGCCGCCTCTTCCGCGTTCTGATCTCCGAACTCCGAACTCATCTGACTAACTCAAGCGTGCGGGCAGCTTATATAGAGAGAAGCGGAGCTAAACCATCTTTAGGCACCGCCCCCGAATTTTAATATGCAAATCGCCTGGATCACCATGTTAATCTTCGGATCTCCGCGGGCAACCAGTTTTCCAGAGGTACTAAAATCGGATTCGGACCTCCTGCTAGATCTTCCGCAGACAACGTATACTTAAATTTTGCCAAAACCACTTATCCCGTCTGGTTGAATTCCGCTATTCAGACCACCCAAAAATCCAATTTTCCATTTATCACAAACTTTACTTTAACGAATCCGTCTCTTAATCACTTTGGAATTATTACATGTAATTAACTAATAACTCAACCGCAGAAACAATTATTAAGAGAAAAAAAAAACAAGAGAAAAAAAAACAACTTATTTCTGTAATTACTCTGGAATCCCTTCTACCCAAGTAATTAGCACCTTCATCCTAATTCTTTAGCACTGTTGATTACTAAATCCACCTTCGCTCTCTCTATGTCACACCGGACAATTGCCCCATAGGGCAACTGCACCCCAGAAAATTGACCTCATTAAGAGAAAATTAAGAAGGCACAACTTTGGGGGGTGGGGTGGATACTAATAAAACTGATTAGGGTTTTATTTTCTTGTTTTATCTGTTATCCATTATAATTTTATATCACTATAATTATACAACTAAAATTGTAAATCATGGGCTATACATCTGAAAAAGTCCATAGTGGTTCTCGAAGTCTTGTACAATATTAACTATTCTGACAGTCGAAACTTGATAGCGTTTCCGCTAAGCGGCGCCCTTTTCCGTTGTCCGACGGCAGTTGTCCTATGGGGGCAATTGTTCTGTGGGGGCAATTGTAAAGAAAGCACTTGTCCTATAACTGTCTGCGTGAATTTAAGTGTACGACTAGATTGGCAACTAGGTCTCATCGTTTTACTATTGAAATAGCTTGATGTAACCGTAAGTTCTATTCTAATAGTTTCTTCTCTCGCACTTCTCAGCTGTGCGATTCTCTTCCGGCTTCTTGCTTCCCCGTCACCTACAATCTTCAAAAATTTAAATGCAACTTCAATCGCCATCTATTGTAATTTTATAGCTCTCTTTCATCACGAAAGTTTTCTCATTCCTGTTCATTCCCAGTTATTCCTTGAAAATTTGACCCCGGATCGGGATAGAAAATGTCTTCCAAACACTCAGCAAAGTATTAAGAAGCAAGAAAGTGTCGTTAGAACTAAACAGAATAGTGCTGAAATGCATGTAGTATCAGTCTTCTTAATTACAGATTTTTCTGGAAAATCTTCTAAGGCGCATTACGGGCGTCCGGCGACCGCGAACGAAGGCCGACCAGCCGCTTCGACGGACTTACGCATTTAACTTCTAAGGCGCATTACGGGCGCCCGGCGACCGCGAACGAAGGCCAGCCAGCCGCTTCGACGGACTTACGGCATTTACCTTCTAAGGCGCATTATGGGCGTCCGGCGACCGCGAACGAAGGCCAGCCAGCCGCTTCGACGGACTTACGGCATTTACCTTCTAAGGCGCATTATGGGCGTCCAGCGACCGCGAACGAAGATGAAGAGGCGATATGAAGTAGCAGTGGTTTGGTTCTACAGAATGATACTGCGAATAAAATGGACAGAGCAGGGAGGAAATATTACGGAATTTGGTAACAAAAGTGACATTTACAACCAGAAAAAAAAGTTGACATTTCTAGGACATAAAACAAGGAAAAAAGAGCTAGAAAATTTGTCACTCACTGGGCATACCGAAGGCAAGATATCCAGAGAGAAAAAGCGAGTAGCCTACCTAACAAGCCTGTGTCAATGGATGACAGAACAAGTAATGGTAGAGGTAATAAAAATACAACTGTTGCTAATCCATTAGCTAGGTCAGCTGCTAAGAAACTTGTTTCACTGTGTTGTGTGAGACAATCTTTCTCTCCAGTATCTCTCCTTTTAAGTTTAATTATAAATTAGTTTATTTAGGTGTTTAATTCAATTTTTTTTGTTTATACTGGTTTAACCAGTTTTTCTTTTTTTATTCTATTATTTCTTTTATTTCCTCCCCCTCTCCTGTTTTTATTGTTTTCTTTTATATAACTTCTAGTTTATAGAAGAAATCTACATTTTATTTGCAAATTTAATTAATTATTTTTTAGTGTGTTTTATTTTTTTTTCGCTTCCCCTTCACCAACTCCAATTATTTATCTTCAGTTTAAAAAAAAAATAATAGGCCCACTTATTGAGGTGGTTAATTTTTTCTCAACATGGCCGAAGAAAATAATCGTTCTGTGAGAAAGGACCTTTTCGGTGCTGCTTCTAAGACAGACACTCCAGATAAATCGAAAACTAGTAAACGGGGGAAAGAAAAACCGAAATCACCAGTCCAGGAAAAATTGTGCTGACTACAAATAATAGAAGTACAGAAAATGAAGACCACTATCAGTTTCAATAAAACTATTGACAAAAATCTGCCGAAAATAATGGAGGCACTAGTGAAGACGACAGCCGAGGAATTGACCTCAGGCTGGAAGTCCCCACCCCACAAGTTGCATTATAAACATTGCGGTATTTTTGGAAAGGGCTAAGAGTTTTATACATATTGTAAAAGAAGATGGACTCTTAGAAGACGTCCAATAATTAAAGATGTTTGAAAGGTGAATGGTGTCGGTCTTCGTGGTGGACAAGCGTACGCGCAAAATCTGTCGGCCCACGTAAGACACAGTGATTCGATCACTGGTGGTCAAACCCCAAAGAGTTATAAAAGTTACGGTTTTTTTCATGTGGGACATGCTGCTACCCACAGCCGAATATTGCTTTAAAATGGCTAGGAGATAATTACTAACCAAAGATCTCATTCTGCGGTACGAGTAAGGATCGACAAAGGACCAGGATCCCCGGTTTTTATCGGAGAAAAGAAAAAAAATCAAATCATTGTACTTATCAGGGAAGACGTCTGTCGCATATCCCGGTAACAAACAGAAAGGGTTTTTGCTTAGACACGAAACCTAAAAGAACTGAAGAGCCTCTAAATTTTCCGCCAGTTAAACGAAAAAGATACTGAGGTTTCGCAAAATTTCAAAAACGTTAAAAAGCTATTGACTGCTGTGTGATCAGGTCAGACTACGCGGCAGAGATGGAGAATTTTCGAAGAGGCAACAAACCCAGCGGTGTATATGAACGACAACCAGATGTCGGAATTGAAAAAATATTGTTCTTGGCGGCTTAGTCTTTTTGTTCACCCATCCCTGTATAGGGCTTTAAAGTTAACGTTTCCCAGGGACATTAGCGGCCTGTCTCTTCATGGCACCATCACGAGTGAGATGGGCACAGAATCAATCGGACAAACCGTTGGTGTTCTCACCCCGGCTATGTTCAATGCAGATGATCCACCCTAATCGGTTTGATGATGTCTCTCTGGTTGGCTAGTGTGAATGCCCGGAGCCTGAGGTCGAAGTCTCGCAGGGCGAGGGTCTCTCGTGACCTTCAGCGTCTCGGGGTGAATATATGTTGTGTGCATAAAACGAAGTTTTCTACTCGCAATTATGAAGGCATTCTGTCTAGGGGTGTTTTCCCTCTATTCAGTATGTTTTGATGGACACTCAAGAGGTGTCTCCTGGTTGGTGAGCAAATCTTTGAAGGCGGTGTGTGCTCTTGTCTTCGCAGATCTGGCGGCCAGGCTTTGCGTGCTGGATGTTACCATAAAGGCTCTTAATTTCATTGGGGTTTATGCGCCCAGTGGCTATTCTGAGCGGCCTGTTTTGTGTTAGCGGATCGAGCCGTTTTGACGACATCTTGTCGGGTAGTTTTAGGGCGGGATTGGCATGCCGTTCTTGACCCCAATATAGATCATATAGTGTTAAATTCGGATACTAACGGGACGTGAAACCTTTTTGGGGACTTTTTTCGGTAACTATGATCTTGTCGATAAGTACCGTAATTGAACACCCTCCGGAGGTAGTGTTGACTTGGACGAATAGGGGAGACTCGGCTATATCGGTGAGTTTTAGCTACATCGACAGAATCTTAGTTAAGAGAGTCGATGTTGGGCTCTTAAGGTGTCAAGGTTTTCATTATATAGCTTACTCGGATCATAGGCCCGTCTTGGGTATGACGATAAACTACACCCGCGTCCTGGGTAAGACAATAAACTACATATAACAGCAATGCCTGTGATCAAGTTTTTAGGTGTCTGGAGCCACCTCTTAATTGCTGGTGTTCCAGGTCCACTCTGACCTGGGGGTGCTAGCACCTGTTAGTGTTCCAGCTATGGGTAAATAGTTAGCCCACAAACTGGGGTCAAAACACCACGAAAGTGCATTAATAGGTTTTAATATCAGAAATACTTTGTAAAAAATTATGAGTCCTTCGGGCGGGGAGGAACCCGAACGATGCTACGCCGAAGGGCGGAGTCTCTTTCGGGGAGGTAAACCGACCCTGAACCTGTTTATACGGGTTCAAAGGGCATATTTTTGGCCGAGCCCACGGGATCGGAGATCCCACGTTAAACTGGCCTTGTGTCACATGATGCCCTCGTGGGAGGGGTGACTAAATACCGTTCAGTCTGAAGTCTGAAGTGAGGTCCGTCAGGAGTCAGTCAGTCAGAGCGAGCGAGTCAGTCAGTCGAGTCAGAGGCAGTCCGAAACAGAGTCGCGTTCAGACAATTACTGCAAGAGACTACATAGTTCTCCCTACTAAACCTGATTGTTCGTACTAACACTTTCTACTGCTCTGTATATATTCCTGTTTGTAATATATCTGTGTTATTCCATATCCGTGTTCGAGTTCTTCTTTATTGGTTCTACCTTGGACTATCACCGTGGTACAAGGAACCGGACCATAACAGAAGGGAAAGATGACGAAGAGAGACGAAGGCTGAACATAGCTGGGGATCTGAGCTCTAAATAGGTAAAGTCGATAGCAGTAGTTTGCTAAAAAGGAATATGTTTTACGGTTTACAGCTTACAATAATAATAAAAAGGAAGAAAGTTACATGGCATTACAGTATGCGAACAGTCAACACGTGATGAAAGGGGTTCTTCACGACGATGTACAGCAGTAAAAATAAATAATAATAATAAATAATAAATAATAATACGATATTGAAGGAGGCAAATGTAGAGAGAAAAAAGTAGATAAGTTACCCGCCAACAATGCTATCGTTGGGGGTAGAGTTAGGAGGATAAGAAAGTAGGAACCACGTGATTTGACACCGTTGTTTATTGTGATGATTTCGGTAATTACTAGGGGCTAAACAGGAAGTGGTCAAAACGATGACTAATCTAAAACGTATCTAAATTAAAAAGTGGACGAAAAAGGGCAAAATAAAACTATAGAAGTGTTGTCCCGTGGTAACAGAACATGTAACAATATTAGCTTGTTTTTTGAAATATTGAAAAGAACTAGCGTGTTTTCGTCAATTCTGCTGATAGAGGAGAAATCAGTTGGAAGGCCATTTGGTCATTTTGATTTGGGGAAGAAAAAAAAAAGAAAAAGAAAAAGAAAAAGAAAAAAGAAAACTGTTTATTTTGTCAGAACTGTCTTCTGTTTGATCTGTTCTGAAAAAAAAAGGTTCTTGCTTGACGTGTCTTTTGTTGTTACAGGCAAAGGAAACATTACTAGGAGTGCGGAATTCAATTTCTACTTTGATGCTGAAGCAGCCAATATTGTTTTGTCAGAGTTTCAATGTCCGATCGGCTTCATTACTTGGGAGTTATGCTTGGAATCAGCATTGACTTGGGTAAGAGAAAAGTTCGCTTTTCTTTTCAGATTATCAGATCAGGGATTGCTAATTATTAAAAGTAAACGAATTTATTATTATTATTATTATTATTATTATTATTATTACTATTATCATCGTCATCATCATCATTATTATTATTATTATTATCAGTCTCCTTGTTATCATCGTTATTATTATTGTCATTATTATTATCATTCTTCTTCTTCTTATCATTTTTATTATCATTATTATTATTATCATCATTTTTATTATCATTATCATCGTTATTATTATTATTTTCATAATTAGTATCATTATCATTTATTATTATTATTATTATTATATTATCATTATCATTCTTCTGTTTCTTCTTTTTATCATTATCATCATCGTGTTGTGAGTCTTCATGTTTGTTTTACGTGCTGCATCTAAGTTTCAACCACAAACCTCAAGGGACTGCAAGTCAACAGATCATAATTATTGCTACAATTGGTTGGATATATATATTGCTGACATTACCAGCATCATTTTTTAATAATTGTATGTTGCTATTGGTATGTCAATAGTATTTTAAACTTTCATTAAAATATTTATATATATGCACAGATAACAATTTATGTACAGTTAAAATATGTAATCAGATTAAATGGAGAATTTGAAAAAAGTAAAATGATGTCACAAGTGTAAAATACATCAGCTGTCGAACGAATATTCTAAATGTGAAGGAGGATCCATTTAAAATAATAGATTTCTGCGAATGTGCGTACCAATTCCAATAATACAAGCCCATAACTTTGATATAACTTTCCGTGGGCATGTTTGAAGTAGCCAAGGGTGCAATCTTTTGCATTTCAACCAAATTACTCTCTCCTACAGAAACACAATGCGTCCTATTTTTTGGTATGATTCCTACAGCACAATAACGAAGTTTTGAAATTTCACACCTTTTGAATTATTTTTATTATAATTATAATTTATAATTTTAAACGGCTACTCTTCTAGATTTTTTTGCATTAAGAAATTAGGTGTCCCCCAGGGCTCTAGCCTTGAACTTACGTTATTCATAATTTTTATCAAGGACACTCATGATGTTATTTGATTTCAACTCGGTATTTATGTTGATGACACAACTATTTACTGCTGTTTTAATAGTAAGTATAATCGGTTCGATAAGGTCAAGTTGGCAGCTGAGCTCAAAAATGACCAACAATCTGTTATTAACTGGGGTAAGAAATGACTTGTTACTTTTAACGCATCCAAAACAAAACTGTTCGCTTTAATCGTCTGAGAGAAACTTTTCTTTTGCTTTTCATCAGAACGGCTGATGCTAAACCCCAGGAGAGAGACTTCTTCCAACTTCTCGGGATAACGTTTGCCACTGACATGAAATGGATAGATTATATTGAATAAACTAGCAGTATAATCCGTCTTCGACAGGGTGTTTCATTAATGGGAATTTTTGCCGCTCATTTGGAGCAGTTTAAGTTTAAAGTCAGCCCACCCGAAAATCAATATTAGTAACAACAGTTGGGTGCAACTGAGGGAGATCTCCAAATGAGGGGGGTAACAATTTCAATAAGGTGTAGCCTTGAAAAGAGCCGTTTTTGCGTTCTCAATTTTGCAAGGAAGAATCCTCTTTCATGGACCGCAATAATAATAATAATAATATACGATATTTTTCATTTATAATATAATTTTTTTAAAATAATTTTAATAATCTTTTGCGTTAGATTTCAACTCTCTAAATTTATTGTACGTTGTTTTTTACAGACATTAAATTTTTACCTTTGATTTTTATGCAAGATGTAAAAAATCAGTTTTTTCGATTTTTTACCTTCAAGGTTGTAATTTTTTTCAGCCATCTGGGCTCAAAACCGGCACTAAAGAATTATCTATCAAAAAAAAAAAAAAAAAAACTTCATGGAAATCGGATGAAAAATGTCGAAACGCATAAACAACATCCGATCACACACATACATACATACATACATACATACACATACTCATTTTGAGATTTCTAGGTCTGCTGCTAGGAAAGTTGATCTCACCAGAATCGATCTTAGATAAATATATCATTCGTCCATGCTTTGAATATTGCAGCCGTATATGGTCTGGTGCTTCTGACATATATTTAGATATTATTAATAAAATACAAAGAAGAATCTGCAACGTTATTGGCCCTGACCTGTCATATCGGTTTCAATTACTTTCCCACCGCCGTAACATAGCTTCCCTGTGACATGTCTATAAATATTTTCATGGTAATTGTTCTAATGAACTTTCCTCTTTAGTACCTCGACTTTAGGAATTTTATCTGGTTTAGCAGGAAGGAAGAAGAAACCGGTATCTCAGCGGCAAAAGTAACTTAATAATCAACGCAAGATATTCCAAATAAACGAAATAATGAATATCTGAAGATGGCCAGAGTGTACTTGGTCGCAACGTCGTGTCTGTAATAACATCTATAGCGGTGAAAATATTGAAAAAAGTGAAAATATTAAAAAAAATTTGAAATATATTAAAAACTATTAGCAGAATTCAAAATTTGGTTGTCGTAGACTTTTCACGATCGATCGAGTTTTTTTTTTTAAATGGAGAATTTGTTAGAACCTACTATGGCAAAAAGTGGGGATTCTCCTTATAACTTGATTGTAAAACAAAATGTCCCCTATTTAATGCTCTCTTGTATGTTAATCAAATTAAGCATAGTACTAGATTGGTCATGGTCTCATCATTTTACAGTTGGAATGGATGAATTTAACCATAAGTTCTATGCTTAGAGTTTCTTTTATCGCACTTCTCTTTTGTGGAACTCTCTTCCGGCTTCTTGCTTCCCAATCAACTTTGATTTTCAACAATGTAAATGCAATATCAATCGTTATCTTTGATTTCCATTTATCCTGTTATTGTTCTCTCTATTTATTAATGCTTTTTTTCAGACATTTTTTAAAATCTCTACTGGGTATACATTTCGCATTAAAAAAGGAGTTTATATACATAAGATTAAAATATATATAGGCTGACCCGTTATCTCTTATGCATATTCTTGTCCTGAGTGCGAAATAATAATAACTCCTTTTACCTACCCACTTCAAACTTGGAGACGGAAAAGAATTCGCGTGTCTATGTGACATTTTCTTTGGACAAATGAAAAACTTGCATTGATGGGAATTAATCGGTGAGTTGAGAAGAAAAAGAAATAAATTTGCGAGTCTATGTGAAATTGCTTTTGGATCAATGAAAACCTTGTCTCCACAGAAATTAGCCCTTAAGCCAAGGAGAAAAAAGAAAAGAAAGTAGCAAGCCTATGCGAAATTCTTTTTGATATAAAATGAAGAGAAAATTTAAATTTTTGAGAATGTCTGAAGTCATGTGAAAGGTTTCGTTTCTGTTCATCACGTTCAGGGTTCAAATTTTCGCCAGTGTAAAAATTACCCTCCAATTACTGGCCTTTAACTAAGCATACGGCACTTCGAAGAATTTTCTCTCAAAAATCCAAGAAAAGTATTTCAAACTATCTCGCCTCGTCTACTTTTTGATATATGCATATTATCTCTTCTGTGAGCAATGAAGTCTCTTACCTTTGTCTTAAACATTTTTAAATATTATTTTGTGTCAGATCATTTAATCTGTTGTATGAACATTCCCTTTTCATGATAATTCATTAAAACTACGGACTGTAAAAATTTCTGATTTATTTTACGGAAACAAGCAACTGACATAATTTCAAGCGTGTAAATTCGGAAATAAATTCCTTATCTTGTTTTGTTAAAATTACCTGTGTGTTTTATCGGTATTATTATCGTTCATTAATCTTCTTGGAGTGGGTAAATCAACTGTTCATTTTAACCTCTAAGCACAACGCGGCTATATCCTAAAAACTGCTCTTCATACTTTCACTTCTTACGTGTATAAACCTCATTCAGTAAACATCTACCTTGAACGGCTTTCTGAATATCATACTTATTATAAAACCCAGGTTGTGTGTGTGTGTGTGTGTCTGTACGTTTATATATTGGATCAGATTTCCTACATTTTTCAACCGATTTCAACAAAACTTCACAGGACTACGTGAAATTACCTTGCGGTGGTTCTGATAGCGCCAAAAATTGGAAAAACACAATTGTTTTTGCACGAAATCAATTTGAAAACACGATTAAGAGGCATCGCGAGAATGAAAGGGGGACAACTCATATCGAGTTATACTTATTATAAAACCCAGGTTGTTTGTGTGTGTCTGTGTTCGTTTATATATGAGATCGGATTTCCTACATTTTTCAACCGATTTCAACAAAACTTCACTTTTTTTGGCAGGTAGTGTTTCTTATTGTCTTGCACACATTTTCCTTTATTTTTACATTCAGAATGCTTTAAAAATTCCAATTACAAGACAATTGTTTATAATAAAATTCTATTCAATCGGTAGACTCATAACGATTGAAAACAATGTTTTTGTTTGAGTTTGGGTTTTACCAATTCGTAAAAAAAAACAAAAAAAAAATAACAAAAAACAAAAAAACTAATTAAGACATACGTGTCCGTCAACCTTAAACAATAATCTTTGTCAATTTTATTTTTCAGTCTTTATGATGGTCGATACTTGATCTATCTCTTACTGTTATATCCCCGGGCAATGCCGGGCTCTACTGCTAGTATAATAATAAAAGTTGCCTTTATATGTAAATATTTCCTTTTTATTTTTTTGTGTTTAATATTGTTATTATTCTTCAATTCCAGGACTTCAATGACGCTCTTCGTAGCATGTCTGGCGTTAAGGCAGAACTGATGAAAAAAATTGAATCCAAACTAATTGGTAGCTGGAAGTCAAGAGGTGATTATGTAATCTGCGACGAATTGGCCATGGCTGCAGCTCTTGATGAGAAGTGCATAATGGAATCGGAACAGGTGTCGGCTGAAGTTGAATGTTTCGGCCAGTTGACTCGTGGTCAAGTGATAATCGACTGGGCGAATAAAACCAAAAGACCAAAGAATGTTCGTTTAGTTACAAAGATGAACATGGAGATTGTGAAATCATTGATGCATCGCGCGTATTTGGAATGATTCATTTCACTGAAACACGTCTGGAAAATGGAAGAATAGTAGCTAGTTAAATCAGAGGGTACAATTTTTCTTTCGTCTTTGCTTAATGGGATTATATCGACGGTAAATGTATTATCTTCTTACAATAGAATATTAGGTTGAGTCATAAATAATTTCTGTTGTTTTTTCAACAAATGTAATCTTCAAAAAATAAAGTAAATTACGTTTAATTCAATTATTGTTGTAGAGTAGTTTTCACAGTGGAGGCTTGTATTTCACTAAGCCGGTCCTAAATTAGGTTCGACATACAAAACGTTAGGAACTTGAAATAATAGTTAATGACGCAGCAATCTAGTTGTGGTGGTTGATCGACTGACTCACTCAACTCCACTGAGCCCCCTGGCGATTGCTACTACTACTACTTATTATATCTGAGAGAGTCTATTTACAATAGAATAGGTATGTTCCGGTATAACAATTATATAGTCACCATTATTTGCAATAACTGCAGTGGTATAGCTAAAGTGTGTGCCGCTTGGGGCCGCTCTTACAACTTTCAACAAAGGAACTTTTCTTGCTGTTTTGTTGGCAGATTCTTCAATGACGTCAAAAACTATTTCATTTGTCAATTGTCGCTCTATTGACAGTAGTTAGGCCAATATACATATGCCATAGTTTATGTTACTTGAAATTGAGAAGATCCTTCAACTGTGAGTACTGACCCGACATTAAAACCACTTTTATTTCAATACAGCCTATACAGGTTTATAGCCTACAGCAGGCACAAAAGTGCCGCCCTCATAAAAGTGTCACTCGGGGCGGACCGCTTCATTTACCTACGTCACTGAATTGTTGTCACTTATCAGGCAGGTCTTCGATATATAATTTATAGCCTACAGCAGGCACAAAAGTGCCGCCCTCATAAAAGTGCCACCCGGGGCGGACCGCTTCATTTACCTACGTCACTGAATTGTTGTCACTTATCAGGCAGGTCTTCGATATCTTTTGAGAAAAATTCCGCAGGTTTTGAATCAGGTTTTTATGAAAGAGAGTTATTTTTTTTTCCATCAAAGGGTTTTGCAGCGAACGATTGGTTCATGGTTGGGTGAATATAGCAGGTAGGGTAGAACAGTCAAAGCGAGACCCACATTTTTTCTTGAGTTATTCTTGTTGTGTGTTGTCTTGGGGGATAACAACATTTTTCCTTTTATCTACTTTGCCCACTGCAACAGCCGTGCAAAAATAAGGTATATTAGTATATTCTAAATTTATTCTTAACTGCCACCTATGATTAATAGTTGGGACGATACATTCGCCATTGAAATTGTCTCTCCAAACGGAGATTACTTATGACTCAACCTAATATATTAGTATGGTATTTTAAAAAAAAATTATTTTGCTTATTAAATAATAAACTGATTCACCCTTGAATTACTACACTATGTCAGATTGTATTAAGCTATTCAATGTTTTCACAATAAAAAGATATTAAACAAGCAATACTGGCAAAAATTTCAGGATATATTTACGTTCAATATTAATATAAGTTTCTACTGGATATAAAGTGGGGGATCGCTTTTCTATTGTTAATAAGTAATAAACTGATTCACCCTTGAATTACTACACTATGTCGGATTTTATTATGAAATTCAATGTTTTCACAATAAAAAAGATATTAAACAAGCAATACTCTCAAAGCTTTCAGGATATATTTACGTTCAATATTAATATAAGTTTCTACTGGATAGAAAGTGGGGTGTCAGTTTTCTATTGTTATTAATTAATGAACTGGTTCACTCTTGCCACATCCGTGCAAGAATAAGGTATATTAATATATTACAAATTTATTCTTAACTGCCGCGTATGATTAATATTTGGGACGATGTATTCGTCATCGCAATTGGCTCTCTAAACGGAAATTATTTATGACTCAATTTAATATAATAGTGTGGTCTTTTTTTTAATTTATTTAAAGTATATTCAGGCAAATATTATATAGGTCGAATCGTAAAGATTCTTTGCAAAAAATATATATCTAAAAAAGATCTGAATCCAAGATTTTATTGTATTGCAATCTATTTTTGGTAGCTTATGATTTGCTTTTGCTTTCAATTTAACAAACGTTGATGTAGAACTTTTATGTAGTTTGAAACCGTGAATAAAACTTTCCTGTTTTAAATAAAGTAAACGCAAATGTATTTTCAGATTCATTTTTTTCCATATTTTTTCTGCGTTACCAGGAGAGTCTAATTCACAGAGACAGGCAAATTGCCCACCTGTACGTAGAGGAAACTTCTGGTGATGAAGCAGAAAGAGAATGATAACTTGATAAGTAAGAAATTAGCTCCTCGAAAGAATTGGACGTTTCTGATCATGCCAAGCTAGAACAGGGTCTGGATTTAAAAGTATCTTCAATCTATTATTTTTTGTATAGACATTGTGTGGCAATAAAATACATTGATATTTGGTATCTCTTTCTTTTATTTCTAAATCCAATTTAGAGATAAATTTAGAGATAAATTTAGGGTTAAATTCAAAATGCATCATCGGAATAATCCAATTCTTAACTTTACATCACCAGAAAGCATACAGTTCTATGTTTAAATCATTTTCTCTCTTGTCTTGATCTGTTACTTTACTTCAGCTACTCTCTTTCTTGTTCTATTTCATTCATTCATCTTCTATGATCTTAGCCTATTTCATCCCCCCCCCATCTCTCTTATTTTGGTCTATCTCATTTCTTCTTCATCTCTCTTTTCCCCTCCGTTTTCTTTCTTATTTGGTCTATCTCATTTCTTCTCCATCTCTCTTTTTCCCTCCGTTTTCTTTCTTATTTGGTCTATCTCATTTCTTCTTCATCTCTCTTTTCCCCTCCGTTTTCTTTCTTATTTGGTCTATCTCATTTCTTCTCCATCTCTCTTTTTCCCTCCGTTTTCTTTTTCTTATTTGGTCTATCTCATTTTCTTCTCCATCTCTCTTTTCCCTCCGTTTTCTTCCTTATTTGGTCTATCTCATTTCTTTTTCATCTCTTTTTTTCCCTCCGTTTTCTTTCTTATTTGGTCTATTTCATTTCTTCTTCATCTCTCTTTTTCGTTTTCTTCTTATCTATCTCATTTCTTCTCCATCTCTTTTCCGTTTTCTTTCTTATTTGGTCTATCTCATTTCTTCTCCATCTCTCTTTTCTCCTCCGTTTTCTTTCTTATTTGGTCTATCTCATTTCTTCTCCATCTCTCTTTTCCCCTCCGTTTTCTTTCTTATTTGGTCTATCTCATTTCTTCTCCATCTCTCTTTTCCCCTCCGTTTTCTTTCTTATTTGGTCTATCTCATTTCTTCTTCATCTCTCTTTTCCCCTCCGTTTTCTTTCTTATTTGGTCTATCTCATTTCTTCTTCATCTCTCTTTTCCCCTCCGTTTTCTTTTCTTATTTGGTCTATCTCATTTCTTCTCCATCTCTCTTTTCTCCTCCGTTTTCTTTCTTATTTGGTCTATCTCATTTCTTCTCCATCTCTTTTTCCCCTCCGTTTTCTTTCTTATTTGGTCTATCTCATTTCTTCTTCATCTCTCTTTTCCCTCCGTTTTCTTTCTTATTTGGTCTATCTCATTTCTTCTTCATCTCTCTTTTCCCCTCCGTTTTCTTTCTTATTTGGTCTATCTCATTTCTTCTTCATCTCTCTTTTCCCCTCCGTTTTCTTTCTTATTTGGTCTATCTCATTTCTTCTCCATCTCTCTTTTCCCCTCCGTTTTCTTTCTTATTTGGTCTATCTCATTTCTTCTTCATCTCTTTTCCCCTCCGTTTTCTTTCTTATTTGGTCTATCTCATTTCTTCTTCATCTCTCTTTTCCCCTCCGTTTTCTTTCTTATTTGGTCTATCTCATTTCTTCTCCATCTCTCTTTTTCCCTCCGTTTTCTTTCTTCTTTGGTCTATCTCATTTCTTCTCCATCTCTCTTTTCCCCTCCGTTTTCTTTCTTATTTGGTCTATCTCATTTCTTCTTCCTCTCTCTTTCCCCTCCGTTTTTTTCTTTTTATTTGGTCTATCTCATTTCTTCTCCATCTCTCTTTTTTCCCTCCGTTTTCTTTCTTATTTGGTCTATCTCATTTCTTCTTCTCTCTCTTTTTCCCCTCCGTTTTCTTTTTTCTTATTTGGTCTATCTCATTTCTTCTCCATCTCTCTTTTTTCCCTCCGTTTTCTTTCTTATTTGGTCTATCTCATTTCTTCTCCATCTCTCTTTTCCCCTCCGTTTTCTTTCTTATTTGGTCTATCTCATTTCTTCTCCATCTCTCTTTTCCCTCCGTTTTTTCTTTCTTATTTGGTCTATCTCATTTCTTCTCCATCTCTCTTTTTCCCTCCGTTTTCTTTCTTATTTGGTCTATCTCATTTCTTCTCCATCTCTCTTTTCCCCTCCGTTTTCTTTCTTATTTGGTCTATCTCATTTCTTCTTCATCTCTCTTTTTCCCTCCGTTTTCTTTCTTATTTGGTCTATCTCATTTCTTCTCCATCTCTCTTTTTCCCTCCGTTTTCTTTCTTATTTGGTCTATCTCATTTCTTCTCCATCTCTCTTTTTCCCTCCGTTTTCTTTCTTATTTGGTCTATCTCATTTCTTCTTCATCTCTCTTTTCCCCTCCGTTTTCTTTCTTATTAGGTCTATCTCACTTCTTCTTCATCTCTCTTTTCCCCTCCGTTTTCTTTCTTATTTGGTCTATCTCATTTCTTCTCCATCTCTCTTTTCCCCTCCGTTTTCTTTCTTATTTGGTCTCTCTCATTCCTTCTTCATCTCTCTTTTCCCCTCCGTTTTCTTTCTTATTTGGTCTCTCTCATTTCTTCTTCATCTCTCTTTTCCCCTCCGTTTTCTTTCTTATTTGGTCTCTCTCATTTCTTCTTCATCTCTCTTTTCCCCTCCGTTTTCTTTCTTATTTGGTCTCTCTCATTTCTTCTTCATCTCTCTTTTCCCCTCCGTTTCCTTTCTTATTTGGTCTATCTCATTTCTTCTCCATCTCTCTTTTCCCCTCCGTTTTCTTTCTTATTTGGTCTCTCTCATTTCTTCTTCATCTCTCTTTTCCCCTCCGTTTTCTTTCTTATTTGGTCTATCTCATTTCTTCTTCCTATCTCTTTTCCCCTCCGTTTTCTTTCTTATTTGGTCTCTCTCATTTCTTCTCCATCTCTCTTTTCCCCTCCGTTTTCTTTCTTATTTGGTCTATCTCATTTCTTCTTCATCTCTCTTTTTCCCTCCGTTTTCTTTCTTATTTGGTCTATCTCATTTCTTCTTCATCTCTCTTGCCCCCTCCGTTTTCTTTCCTATTTGGTCTATCTCATTTCTTCTCCATCTCTCTTTTCCCCTCCGTTTTCTTTCTTATTTGGTCTATCTCATTTCTTCTTCATCTCTCTTTTTCCCTCCGTTTTCTTTCTTATTTGGTCTATCTCATTTCTTCTTCATCTCTCTTTCCCCCTCCGTTTTCTTTCCTATTTGGTCTATCTTATTTCTTCTTCATCTCTCTTTTCCCCTCCGTTTTCTTTCTTATTTGGTCTATCTCATTTCTTCTCCATCTCTCTTTTCCCCTCCGTTTTCTTTCTTATTTGGTCTATCTCATTTCTTCTCCATCTCTCTTTTCCCCTCCGTTTTCTTTCTTATTTGGTCTATCTCATTTCTTCTTCCTATCTCTCTTTTCTCCCTCCGTTTTCTTTCTTATTTGGTCTATCTCATTTCTTCTTCATCTCTTTTTCCCTCCGTTTTCTTTCTTATTTGGTCTATCTCATTTCTTCTTCATCTCTCTTTCCCCCTCCGTTTTCTTTTCCTATTTGGTCTATCTCATTTCTTCTCCATCTCTCTTTTCCCCTCCGTTTTCTTTTCTTATTTGGTCTCTCTCATTTCTTCTCCATCTCTCTTTTCCCCTCCGTTTTCTTTCTTATTTGGTCTATCTCATTTCTTCTTCATCTCTCTTTTCCCTCCGTTTTCTTTCTTATTTGGTCTATCTCATTTCTTCTTCATCTCTCTTTCCCCCCTCCGTTTTCTTTCCTATTTGGTCTATCTTATTTCTTCTTCATCTCTCTTTTCCCCTCCGTTTTCTTTCTTATTTGGTCTATCTCATTTCTTCTCCATCTCTCTTTTCCCCTCCGTTTTCTTTCTTATTTGGTCTATCTCATTTTTCTTCATCTCTTTTTCCCCTCCGTTTTTCTTTCCTATTTGGTCTATCTCATTTCTTCTCCATCTCTTTTTCCCCTCCGCTTTCTTTCTTATTTGGTCTATCTCATTTTTCTTCTTCTCTCTTTTTCCCCTCCGTTTTCTTTCTTATTTGGTCTATCTCATTTCTTCTTCATCTCTTTTCCCCTCCGTTTTCTTTCTTATTTGGTCTATCTCATTTCTTCTCCATCTCTCTTTTCCCTCCGTTTTCTTTCCTATTTGGTCTATCTCATTTCTTCTCCATCTCTTTTCCCCTCCGTTTTCTTTCTTATTTGGTCTATCTCATTTCTTCTTCATCTCTTTTTCCCTCCGTTTTCTTTCTTATTTGGTCTATCTCATTTCTTCTTCATCTCTCTTTCCCCCTCCGTTTTCTTTCCTATTTGGTCTATCTTATTTCTTCTTCATCTCTCTTTTCCCCTCCGTTTTCTTTCTTATTTGGTCTATCTCATTTCTTCTCCATCTCTCTTTTCCCCTCCGTTTTTCTTTCTTATTTGGTCTATCTCATTTCTTCTTCATCTCTCTTTCCCCCTCCGTTTTCTTTTCCTATTTGGTCTATCTCATTTCTTCTCCATCTCTCTTTTCCCCCTCCGTTTTCTTTCTTATTTGGTCTATCTCATTTCTTCTTCATCTCTTTTTTCCTCCGTTTTCTTTCTTATTTGGTCTATCTCATTTCTTCTTCATCTCTCTTTTCCCTCCGTTTTCTTTCTTATTTGGTCTATCTCATTTCTTCTCCATCTCTTTTCCCCTCCGTTTTCTTTCCTATTTGGTCTATCTCATTTCTTCTCCATCTCTCTTTTTTTCCCCTCCGTTTTCTTTCTTATTTGGTCTATCTCATTTCTTCTTCCTATCTCTCTTTTCCCCTCCGTTTTCTTTCTTATTTGGTCTATCTCATTTCTTCTTCATCTCTCTTTTTCCCTCCGTTTTCTTTCTTATTTGGTCTATCTCATTTCTTCTTCATCTCTCTTTCCCCCTCCGTTTTCTTTCCTATTTGGTCTATCTCATTTCTTCTCCATCTCTCTTTTCCCCTCCGTTTTCTTTCTTATTTGGTCTATCTCATTTCTTCTTCCTATCTCTCTTTTCCCCTCCGTTTTCTTTCTTATTTGGTCTATCTCATTTCTTCTTCATCTCTCTTTTTCCCTCCGTTTTCTTTCTTATTTGCTCTATCTCATTTCTTCTCCATCTCTCTTTTCCCCTCCGTTTTCTTTCTTATTTGGTCTATCTCATTTCTTCTTCATCTCTCTTTTCCCCTCCGTTTTCTTTCTTATTTGGTCTATCTCATTTCTTCTTCATCTCTCTTTTCCCCTCCGTTTTCTTTCTTATTTGGTTTATTTCATTTCTTCATATTTCTTTCTTGGTCTATTTTAACTCTTCAACATCATGGGTATGACGATAAACTACATCTGGCAGCAAGGTCTCTGATCAAGAAGTTTTGAGTAGCATAGCACCACATCCTAATTGTTTCCCGGTCCACCTTGACCCAGAGTATTAGCACATGTTAGGGTCCCAGCTATGAACAAATAGTTAATCCCCGAAACTGGGGTCAAAACATTATGGAAATATAAAACTCGATTTTTTTAGTAAAAAAAAAACCGGCAATATATTTTTGAAAAAAAAAAATGTATTGCCAGCGGTAAACTTTTGAAATAAATATTGCCAGCAGTAGATTTTTGAAAAAGAATATTGCCAGAAATACATTTTTGCAAAAATATATTGCCTGTGACACATTTGATGCTTGACAAAAACAAACAAACAAACAAACAAACAAACAAACAAACAAACAAAAACAACAACAATAAAAGACAACCCCCCCAAACCCGAATCCTCTTTGCAAAAATATGTCAATGAAACCTAATCTACAAACTGATTTCTTACAAAGAATACATATTCTATTCGTATGAACCTATCCTAAAAATAATGTAGATATGAAATAACCCGTTGTGGTTGATAATCCGTAAAACAAAATAAACCAAATCAAACCAAACCATCTCTCCTTAATAATATTATCTTTTCTCATAAATCCTTCACACTCAGTAACTCCTTGTGTCTTAGTGGTGTTATTGCCTTGCTTGAGATGAAATGATTGAAAAGGAAAAAGAACAAAAAAGCCAAAACCCGAAGCGCTGTGATAAAATTATGCAAATATTAGTTGAAAATAATTTGTGGGCTAATAAATTAGAGGAATTGTTGTTTTTATATTTATAAAAAGTCAAGTATACAAGTTGAAACAAAAATATTTGTACATACGACGCTTACTTCAGGGATCATTATTTGTTTATTTCATGGAGAGGAGGAGTATTTCACAATGATAGTTTTTATTATGTAAATAATTTTCACAATAAAATTCTGACAATTGATATTAGCAAAACTTTCAGGATATATTTACGTTCAATATTAATATAATTTTCAACTGGATATAAAATAAGGGATCGTTTTTCTATTGTTATTATGTAATAAACTGATTCACCCTTGAATTATTACACATGGTCAGATTTTATTATGCAGTTCAATGTTTTCACAATAAAAAGGATATTAAAAATAAAAAAAAGGATATTAAACAACCGATTTCAGAGTATATCCACGTTAAATATTAATATAAGTTTCTAGTATAGGAAGATTAATATATAGGAAATTTTTAGCATCTTTTTTGTGGTAAAAACCATTTTGATTTGGAAATTCTTGCAAAAATCAAATAATTGTCGGATTTTAATGAAACTTCCAGGACTTATTCACAAATGAATGAAACTATATCAAAAATATTTTCTAGAAAATCTTGGAAAAATTTTTTTTACATCTGTTACCCCACCACTTACTTAATTTTATGAAATTTCGAGAAATTAAATTTCGCCCCTTTGATATTTATATTAATTAAAAGCAAAACTCCTTGGAGAATTTAAATCGTCAATTTTCTTTTGTAAAACAGAAACACCATTTACAAAAAATGTTCTGAATCGTACAATAAAAAACAAATGAAATAAAACTACGACATTATTTCATTAGAAAAGCTATTAATTGTTTATAAATATGATAATATTAAGGACACTATTCTCTTAAGAAAATCTTTTTCGATGAATAATGAATTTTTACAAGAAATTAATTTTGAATAATCTGAGTTTTAAATCTTTTAAAATCCTCTATTAATTTCAGCCTTTTAGATGACATTATTATTAAGCAAAAACTATATTTACTAATCATAAATGTAAACGCTCGGTATAAATCATTGAACACCGATATCTTTAAAGGAATTTTGAATTTGTATTTTTTTGTAAGTACGGGTGACCATACACGACATTATCAGAAAATAAGAGCGACGACTATAGTAAATTAAAAGTCAAAATATCTAAAATTCAATAAAACCTTAGTTTAAGGAGAATATTTTCCAAAATTTTTAATATTACTTAATACTTAAAAATTATATATATAAAGCGTTCACGTTATTCTTCGATTATTCTTAACGGGTTCTTTACACCGTAGAACAAAAGTAGATAAACATCCATCTGTCATCAAGCTGTCAACAACTTAAATAAACCGCCTACATTTTTTTTTTAAAAAGACATTTCTGCGACATTTTAAACTCAAAGTAAATAATATATGTTTCAAATCACATTAATTATACTTTAAATCAGCTAATATTCCTTAAATAACGTTTCAGAAAATTATATTTAATTTTGGGGAGATTTTTTAATAATGAGAATTACATTCTAATGACAGGTGACTAAAATGACATTAAAATAAAAAAGTTTCACTAATTTCAAAACGAAATTACTTTTGAAATAGAGCAAAGTATTTTGCTTATTGGAAATATTATATTTAATCTATTAGCTTGAAATAAAAGTTTCAAGAAAGATTTTTTTTTAAAATTCATTTTAAAATATGTAAAACATAGGTATTGTGAATCCGAATAATTAGTGTACATTATTTTTGTTTTCAATTCTCAAGAACAAAAAAGTATAAATTCACTTTCCTATGTTTAGGCTTTATTCCAATTCTTTAACTTTAAAAGGATATACATTGTCGAAGAGAGAAGTTAGTTAAAAAAAAAGCGGTGTCATGGAAAAATCGTCCTTTTGACACTGCGTCTTCTTGCGGGGGTGTTTGTCTACGTTTGCAAGTGTTTTTATTGAAGTGTGACGCTTTATTCTTTCATTGAATATATTTGTATGATCTAAATGCAACAACAGCAAAAACAAACAAACATGCAAATAAAGAAAGAAAGAAAGGAATGAAATATCAGCTTGAACGTCGCGATAGAAAACAACAAAATTAAAAATTCTGAAAAATAAAAAAAATCCGAAAAACAACTTAAAAATTGTATGTTAGTAACCATTTTGCATAATTTTCTTTTATACTCTTAATTCATTAATTATAGGTAGCTGTTCTGAAAAGTGTAATTAAAAATATAATATCATATAAAAATATAAAATAAAATATAATAAAAATCGTAAAATATATTCAAAATGATTCAAGGTACATAACTCTAGATACGTTAGTTATTTCACGCGAGTTATTTCCCTTACATTCTAAGCAAGCGCGATATGTATTACTTCTCTCAATTTTTTTGTCAGCCGAAATATCGTAACCCAGTAATCGCATTTATGGGTTAGAGGTGGAAAAAACTAATGTAGGCTTTTTATAAATATGTATGTAATACAATATTTTTTATAAACTTCCAAATAATAACGGATTTTCCTTTATATACCTATAGTCTCTAATGAGATTTCATTTTTATAATTAATGCAGGATTTACATTATGCTACAATTTGAAACTTGAACGTAAATTCTTGATGTGTCTGGGAAGTCATAAATGTAAATTAAATTGTAATTATGCATTTTATTTATTTAGATTTTTTACATTGACTAGCAAAATTAAATATTATACACTTGTGTTATTTCAAAATAGTGTTGTTATCTTGGTTGATGTAGATGTTATTATAGACACAACAATTCGACTCATGAAGTGTCCATCAATTGGTTGATATGGGATATCTGTTGATGATTGTGATATTTTGTCCTTTCGGTGTCAGTTATTGTGTTTTCCTGATGAATAGGTGCTTCATTACCTGATCCCAGGATTGAACTCAAGCAATTATAAAATTGGCTTTCTGAGGATTTTTCACGAATTATTAATTTTTGTTCAATGCTCAGATTTAAATTTATCTATAAGAAATAAATGTACCCAAACTTTGAATTATAAAATCGGCTGAAAAATTGAAGAACGCAAGGTCAAAGCTTGGAGTGTACAGACATTTTCTTCACTTCTAAGAACTTTTTTATGCCGAAAATGGCAACCGTAATGAATGAGGAGCTTACACTGGAAAAAACGAAATATGAATTGAAGTACAAAAAAAAAAAAAACGAAATATAAATTGAAGTACAAAAAAAAAACGAAATATAAATTGAAGTACAAAAAAAAAAAAAAGAAATATAAATTGAAGTACAAAAAAAACGAAATATAAATTGAAGTACAAAAAAAAAAAAAAAACAAAAAAAAAAATATAAATTGAAGTAAAAAAAAAAAATTTCTAACCATATATTTTTGGTTTTGGGAATTTACAATTTTATTTATGTACTAGAACAATTTTATATTTTCAACATCTAAAAACTAATATTAGTATTAAAAATAGTGCAATATTTACCGTTTACCAATTTATAAAGAAATAAAAGTTTTTTTTTCATAAATTTACAAACAGTAAATTGTTAAAATATGTGAAAGAACTATAAGGAAATCTTTATTATTTACTATTTTATGAAGTTCTAATCAAGTGCTAATTAGCCGATGTTTTGCCAACCATTAAACAATATAGTAAATAAATAGTGTAAATAAATAAATAAATGCTCAGTAATAGATAAAAGCACGGTGGAGTAATGCATATCGGCTTGGATTGAGGAATTGGAGAGCCGAGTTCGAATTCCAGGCGAATCCATTACATTCGCTTACATGCTACTACCCGTGGGAAAGGTATGAATCCTCTCCTTTCCCCATCAGCTATGGGTAAATAGCAGGAGCGAATAGCAGGAGAGACTCGGTTCTGTAGTCTTGGATTGCAACTGGTCTACTGCAGAAAGAAATGGCAACCTACTGTGGGGAAAAAAAAATCTGCCTTGTAAGAAAGACACATGATCGCCTAAGCGTGTATCACGAATGGCACATAACTAACTGAATAAATAAACAGTGTTTAATAATTTTGTTGTAAATTCTCAAGAACTACAAAAATATATAAATCCACTTTCATATGTGTAGTTTTATTAAAGTGCTAATCATCATTTTTTTTAAACGAGGAGTGAAGGTAGTTAAAATAATAGTGGTGTCAAGGGAAAAAACGTCATTTTGACTCGGCGTTTTTATTTGCGGGCACG